TCATTTTTTGTTAAAATTAACAGAATCCCATAATTTCACATTTTTGAGCCCAGTTTGCATAATTTTAGAATTTTTGTTGTTGCATACAACCACGGGGACAGGTTGTGGGTTCAGATTCCATTAGAGGCCTGACTTCATGTACTTGGGAAAGGTTCTTTACACAAATGTTTCCTCAAGTCACCCAGGGAAGAACAGATACATGGCTACAGGCAGCAAAAGATCTTAATTGTCAGTTCGTTAATGTTTGAGTACGTGTAATCGGCAGCTTGCGCTGTATGCTTTTCATGAAGCTGAAACGTTTCTGAACGTTCTAGGATCTGCTGGGGGTAATAACAGTTGTAAAACACGTAGGGCATGCTCAATTACCAAAATGCCAGCACTGCAGAACACACAGGGCCCTGAGACAGGAAACACAAACAGACATTTAAAAAAATATTTATAGTAGAGGGTTTTATGGCGCTCGCAATTGCATAAGGTCATATGAGCGCCAAGGGGTGGGTGTCAACAGAGAAGTCTTTACAGGGAATCAGGCTTATTCTGCTCACCTCTCTAGCTTCAACAGCACAAGGTCTGCTTCGACTATCAAGGCACCCCGGAAATAGCAAGTCACAAAAGAGTGACAAACATACAAAAGAAGTAGAGGAAAATGACAATAGTAAGGATTAGGAAAGAAAAAGCAGCAGTTCCCTGTTATAGATCAGGCACAGAGACACCACACATCCTCCAGCACGGCAAGACACACAGGGCCCTGAGACAGGAAACGTGGCCAACCCCATTGACACACACACACACACACACACACACACACACACACACAGGGCCCTGAGACAGGAAACGTGGCCAACCCCACTGACACACACACACACACACACACACACACACACAGGGCCCCGAGACAGGAAACGTGGCCAACCCCACTGACACTACAAGAGAAGCTATACGGGCCGACAGATGAACTGAGCAGGACGGCCCAATTTATGACAGATACCAGACTTCAAGTGTGATGCGATCGAGAAGAAGAAGAAGACAGAGCAAGCTGTTGACCATAGACAGGCCCTTTATATATATGCAATTATTACAACGTAAAGTGGATTGAGCTTGGAATTGGATGGGGCGCCTGCAGAAGTTCAAGACTTAGTGGAAGGAGCAGAAGGCTACGGAATCAACCATTGCTTGGAAACGTCAGCATCTACACACTTGGAGATGTGCTTCTTCAGGGGACAGAGCCCTCACGGGAATACCCCTAGTGCAGTCATGTCGGTCCTTCACACAAGTCAACAAGTAAAGTGGATTGAATGAGCAACACAAAAAGTACAAAACTACTAAAAATTCTTAAATTGTTTATTTCTCAAGGCACAGCGTAATAGTAACTCCTTAAGTACGGAGCCTCACATATCGTGTAGCGTTACTTCATAAAACAGGACACAGTTCTAGGGTTCATAAAACAGGACACAGTTTCACATCCAGGGTTCTTATTCTGACAGAAAATGACCTGGGCTGCTAGTGCTAGACTTGACAAAGAAAATAGAACAACATACAAAAGTCACTTAATCGTTGCTATTTTCCCCCCCATCATTTTTGCGTCATTTGAATTAGAGAGCATACATGTTTCCACTGGAAAATAAAGGCAAAAAAAGAGTACATATATGAGGCAGCGTGGTGAAATCAGGTGCTCGTCAAAATAACGAAAGCGGAGAAATAGGCATTTGTCAGCCAGCTTGGAAATTTTATCGAATTTTTATATTTTAGCTTAACCTCTTGTAAGTCCATATTAAAACACATTTCCAGGTGAATTTTACTGGAAAACATTGATTAAAGGCACAAAATAAGTCATTTTTCAGTTTTTAAAGACTTTAGCTATTGGAGTTATCAAACTTCGGTGGCCATTTTCTCGTTAATTTCACCAGTGAAACCAGGCGACCTCACTTCATTCAATCGCAAATATCTTGAATTCTAATCAAGATAAATGGATATTAATTTCATTGGAAGCAAGGTAAATAAATCAGCTTTCAGATGATTCCCCTAACTCCACATGCCCAAAAATTGACGAGCGCCTGATTCCACCATGTCGTGACATATCTGATCAGCCTGTATGTTGCATCTACCTGCATACGGCCTGGACGGAGTAGGATACACAATTATTGAAGTACATACACATACAGTGCTTTTTAACAAAACCACAATGGTTTAATGACTGCTGTGTAAAAGCTGTAAATCCGTTAGACTCAAATATTTCTGATCAATTTACTGAAGAGTCTTTGAAAAGAAAAATAGGGACTGGGGTAAGAAATAAAGTCCCCCCTCCCCAATACAAAAATAATAAAGATAAAAAAAAAATAACTGAATAAATAAATAGAAATAAAAAAATACATTTACCACTTTGCAGTCACACAGCCAGCAGTACAAAATAGCCCATCTGGTCACCCAGCCAGGAGAGCGACTGCAACAGACTTCTCAGGCCTGGCGCAGGACCGGAACGGAGAATTTTCAGCGTCGCATTATTGCGCCAAGTGACCGAAAAAGTGTTTTAAAAAATGAAATAAAATAAAATCCCAAACCCACTTTGAAGGAAAGTGCAGTTTACCCTATCATTTCTACCTGCTCAAAATGATAAGCAAAATTGTGCCAATCTCTGAAATGATACTACTAGCCACATGTAAAATGATCCCATGGATTAAGGGAAAAAAAAAGATACTCCAGAAATCGCAAGGGAAAATTTTGCGTAACACAACAACCTAAAATGTTGAGGTTCACTCTGGTCGTTTTAGCTACGAGTCCATCACAACTGGTCTGGCTAGGTGATCGTTCAAATTCAAGTCTATCTCTCTTCATCACAGTAAAAAAACAACAAAAAAACAAACCATAAACATCCTTAAAAAAAAGGGGTTGATTCATTTCAAAACATTTCTCCCTGAATGTTGACAAGACCTTTTCAGACAAATGAAACATTGAGCAAGCATCAGGCTCGAATGTGGTGTCAAATTTAAATGTTTTTTTTCTTCAAAACTGCATAGTTGTTTATGATGACATTTGCCTGCATACAAACTGATTTTCGTTTTCACTGAAAATATAGCAAAACCCCAAAAAGTTTCTTTTCAATCTTCAAAGCTAGGACAGGCACACTGTCTTGATGCTACGCCCACCACAAGATCGGGATGAAGGTAAGTTTTACCTAGAGGAGACACAAAGCCCTGATTTTTTAGATTTAGTAGAGGTTTTACGGCGCTTGCAACTGCATTAGGTCCGAAGATTACAGCTGTTACAAGAGAGTAACAAATATAAAAAAGAAGAAGGGGAGATAAGGACGATAGATGTTTGATAGGAAAGAAGAAGCAAACCACACCAGAGCACCCGCAAACCACCCACAAAGCCGTGATTGTCTAGCCTGGATGGTACTGGCACAGATAAATCTAACTCAGTAACTGATCAAAATCCTCCCGTTCTCATAGCATAAAGTGATTCACATTTTAAAAAGCAGTAGATCTGTACCTCAGGCAGACATGCCCAGATTGCGGAATGAAGAAATGAGAGATTCTAAACAAGCAGATCCTTGTGGGAAATATTTCATACACATATTAAATATTACATAGACAACAACTACAAATATATTCACATACATAGCTATTATACAATACATTATATCTTATCGACTGTAATGTTTCCATTATAACATAAATGTACATTCCAGGGGACAAAATCCAATAAATACAAGAATGAACGTTTACTCCTTAAATACAGACAACTGATAGCAGAACATTTGAAAATGTCTTGCTTTGAAATCAACCCTATGAACTACAGATAACAGAAAATAATTACAAGCAAATTCTTGTGAGATTTTAGAACTTATAAAATTGTACAGCTTCCTCATGTGAACATTTTTCATCTACACAATTTCAAAGACAATTTTTAGGTGACAGGAGGCATGGGGAGAGACGAGAGTGGAGAAGGATGAGAGGGAAGCTTGTAAAAGACATTAAAATGGTGACCATATCATGTGCGTTAGATTTTTATAAATTCTGTTGACAGTGGGCAATTTATTTGCCACATCTTCAGCACCATTCTGCCGTAAGCTGACAAAATGCCTTTTAAAAAATTCACAGCAGTTTCGAGAAAAAGTTTTTTGTTAGCGTAACCATTGTAAAAAATAAATCTTTTGAGATTTGAATTCAAATTTATTAAAAAACTACTCACCGTTTCACTTAGAATTTTTATCACACAAGTAGGGTAACTGATAAATTTTGGCGCCAAAACGAAAAAAGGGCATTTTGTCAGCTTGTGGCAGTATTGTTCTTCAATCGTATGCCCTCCACATGACTTGACACATTCTTATCCCCCGGGAAATTTACAAACACACTTCTAGTCTGCACGTGAAGCCAAGAGTTCTGACTAAACCTGGCCGCACACTTTCACGACGATGCAAAGTATCCCAGCCACTGAGCAGCAACAGGAGGGAAGCCTCTCGCAGGTCCTTTTGTGAGGTGGGTAGAAACAGAAGATACAGTGGAGTCCGCTTTAAAGTGAACTCTTTGGGACCAGAAGAAAATGTCCACTTTATCCCAGGTTCAGTTGAACCATTGTGGTAGGGTGGAGGCCTAGAAACAGTAGCTACATGCGGTGGTGGGCAAGAGCTCTTTCTTTCTTTTAGTTTTAGTTTTAGTAAGAGTTTTACGGCACTTGCAACACAATAAGGTCATATAAGTGCCGAAGATTAGAGATGTTACAAGAGAGTAACAAGACATAAAAGAGAAGGAGGAGAGATCAGGACAATAGATATTTGATTGGAAAGAAGGAGCAAACCACACCAGAGCACCCGCCAACCACCCACTCTTTCTTTCTGATTGCCATACAAAATGCCTAGCTGGGATTGTCTGTCGATGCCTGAGGCAAAGACTTTTATTTTCCCAGCATGGCGACAGTGACACGGTCGGTCCATTCTTTGCTTTCACTCATTTGGGGCGTTCACTTTATCCGATTTCCGCATGAAACCGATTCATTTTATCCACTATTTTTTTTTACTTAAACAAAAAGCGTTTCAAACAGGACCATAGAAAATCGTTCACTTTAACCGATTGTCCACTTTAGTCGGACTCCACTGTACATCCAAGGGAAGCGCTAAAAACCAAATCAATATCCTTTTCTGAAACATAAAATACCAATCATATAGACAATCTCCGTGACAGCCGGGAACGCGGAGCAGAATCCAAATATGTACCAGTACCACTGGCACGGCCACTGGTCAAACAGGAAGTAGGACAGTGCTATTGCTGCGGCACTGTGAGCCACGGTAGCTGAGAACAGAGTTAAGGAGTGGCAACGACACACCATTCACTTACATTACACAGAAACATGAGCATACACATACATGATTTGACTGATCTAGTCATTATTGGGGGTAGCAATGACACACCATTCACTCGCATACACACATATTATGTAAGGTGTGCTGACAAAATGTGTTACTTCTCACAATCCAAGAAAGGAGATAAGGGCCAAAAATCAACACTGGGGCCAGATTGATGGATTTTCAATTTATGCCATTTTGTTCCAGTCTTTCGTGTCTTTTATTATTCCATGCTTACAAATTGTACAAACTCCACCTATAAAATTGATGTGTCAATTTCCACAGCGCTAAGTAACTCATTTTGTCAGCACTTTTACTAAAACTAAACTAAGAAAAGGATACAGAGTAATCCTTGGAACGGCATGAACATGGTGATTCCTCCCATGAAGCCGACGAGCTCAACCAGGAAGAGGGCCAGTGTAACGGAGTAGGCCACAAGCATTCTGAGGAGAGAGGAGAGACACATATGTATAGTAGAGGGTTTTACGGCACTCGCAACTGCATAAGGTCATATGAGCGCCAAGGAGTGGGTGTCAACAGAGAAGTCTACAGGGAATCAGACTTACTCTGCTCACCTCTCTAGCTTCAACAGCACAAGGTCTGCTTCAACTATCAAGGCACCCCGGAAATAGCAGGTCACAAGAGAGTGACAAACATACAAAAGAAGTAGAGGAAAATGACAATAGTAAGGATTAGGAAAGAAAAACCAGCAATTCCCTGTTGTAGATCAGGCACAGTTATGAGCGTGACATGAATCAGCCCATTTACAATTCTATTGTGCTTGAACGAGAAATGTCCCCCCTTTGGGAATGGCCTAAAGACACTACAGTCAGTGGCACTGTCCCGTGGGGAGGGAGGAGAGCCAGCCAGAGTACAAGTGAGGCAGCGTGGTGACATCAGGCGCTCCTCAAAGTTATCAAAACAGGCATTTTTCTGCAGGTTTCTGAACTTTTATCCTATTTTTGTTTTTTGGCTCAACATCTTTCATGCCCATTTAAGAACACATTCCTGAGTGGATTTTATTGAAAAATGTTAATTGAAGGCACAAAAAATGTAAATTTTCAGTTTCCACGGATTCTCAAGCTTAAGGATATACCTATAAATCTTTGGCGGCCATTTTCTCACTAATTTTACCCCTGATACCAGGTGACCCCAACCTCCTTCAATCGCAAATATCGTAACTTGTATTCAAGATAAATGGATATTTTTTTCACCCAAAGCAAGATAATTGAACAAGCTTTAAGATGATACCAATAACTCTACATGCCCAAAAATTGACGAGAGCCTGACTCCACTGTGTCGTGACAGGCAGAGTAAATACACAGTCCACATTGTCCAAGACTACGAGAGTAAATACACAGTCCACATTGTCCAAGACTACGAGAGTAAATACACAGTCCACATTGTCCAAGACTACGAGAGTAAATACACAGTCCACATTGTCCAAGACTACGAGAGTAAATACACAGTCTACATTGTCCAAGACGGCCACCCATTGTTGAGGAAAAAAGTGGCTGTCACAGACAGACGGATGTCTTGGACAGTCATTGTTAAGGGTAGCCACTAGCTACAACCCCCCCCCCCTTCCCCATGAACTTTTCCAACCTCATCCTTTTAATACATGGGGCTCCCATACCTACACTGAATGCGAGAAAAGTTCATACAAAATAAGGAAAAGAATTTTGAAAAAGAACCCCAACAAAACATCAATGATTTTATAATTTACGGATCATTTTGTCTAATAATTGAGTAATAATGCATCTCATATCAAGACTGATTTTATATGAAGTGCTACAATTTCTCAACGACTGGCCTGAATCAGGCAAAATTTCTGAATTTATTCGGAAATTCAGCGCCACTGATAGAAAAAACTGCAAAGGTGGGGAAGTGGTTAGTGGTTGTTTGTATTAGTGATTGTCTTGAACAGGTGGCAATTAAGGGGGGGGGGGGGTTCAACTGTACTGTAAACTCTCAAGAACAATTCCTAATACATACATTTACACACACACTATCATCTCACAATGGAGTATATTTATAATTAACTTGCTCAGAGAAAGAAAAAAAACTTTCTTAAATTACAGACATCTCTTGGTCCATAGTCTATCTTTATGTAGCCTTAGCTTGGCAAGGAAAACCAGTTCCAGTCATCATCATAATATACAGTTTTGTGACAAAATGAGACCTGTTAATTTTTCAGGTTTGGAGAAAAATGAAGATTTCTATTCTTCACTTATGTACTGACTAAACTTGGGCAACTTGTTTTCAGAGTAAATATGATGTAAGACTAAGCTTATCTCATTAATAAAATATAACCTATGGTGGATTTTAATTCTTCAGATTGATGAGATTGCCCCATATTTTTGACAAAGTACAACATAATATCCATATATTGATTTCTTCCTTACAAAATGAGAAAAATCCAAAAATAAAATACCATAAATTTCAAAAAAGCAACTTTGAGTCTTGCCTGGAAATGATTAATAATGATACAGAGATCGATAGCATGCAACTGAAATTCCTAGTTTAAAGAATCTAATTTCAAGAAACTCATCTTTTAGCTTTGATATCCTTGCCTGCATAGGTTATTTTAATGAAACTTTATGAACAGCTTATTTGGCAGGAAAATAATTCCAGCCAGAGAATAAGTACATAATTATTGTTCTTAACCGAAAACAGAATCCTTGTTATTACATCTTATATGTTCTTATTGTGCTCATTTGATTTCAATAAATATCTGTAATTACTTTTAATTTTATCTTGAAACAAACTATCCTTTTTCGTACGGAGGTTATCCTTGAACAAAAGCTTCGGTCCACTTCCAAGAAGCAAACAACACTCCCTGATAAAACCAGAACACCACACAGAAACATACTGGGTATCCTTGTCATCATATTCAGCTTGCGTGTAGTCATCTGGCAAACACATCTTTATGTTCTCTTCCTGAAACACAGCAAAACACACACCTTTCTGTTTTAAGACAATTAATCACAACAAGATCAATCTTGGTACTACTTCAGTAGGCTATCTCAGATCCTTCGATATTTTGTATTGCCTGCGGAATGTAAAAATATAATGTACAGTATTTGCATTTTATTCATGAACCAAACCTCATAAGTCTGTAGTCCCCAGCACCAATGGGCAGAAGCAATGGTTCAGCTGACAGTGATTACAATACCAATATATATACACATATATATATTTTATACATCTACAGCAGAGAACTTGGAATATTCAACGAAAAGACCTGCAAAGAATTCAAATAGCTGAAACTATTCAAATCTACAAGATGATTATCAGCATTCATTGAATTTTCAAAGTTACAAAAAGACACCAGCAGTTTAAAAATACCAAAACAGCAAACATTTAACGGAAGTCAAAGAGGCCATTGTAGGGGGAAAGGATACACAAAAGTACAAGATGCAAGCAACATAACTAGCTGTCCAGCAAAAGAAGTACAGGATGACATGAAAATTTCCCACTGATATTCTGAACTAAATTTTGATTTGTCATAATATGGTTTACAGTATTAGATACATAATCAGAGAAGAGACGGAAAGCTTCTATGATATAACATTATAATACAAATACTTACCCTAGTCCAAAGTATGACAATGGTCAAGACCAGGTGAGCTATTAATGTCAGGAACCTTGCTGGAACCAACCCTGTGGCTTCCATTATTGGATGGTGTTAATTTTTACTAACTTGAGGAAAGCTATTTTAAAACTTTCCAATGCTGAAAGTACAAAAGGAAAAAAAAAGGAAGTGTAGTACTTGGAACTGAGTTTATAAAAAATGCATGCTGACAAAAACAATCCACTGTCAAGTATTCAGTTAAAAACATAGTTTTAATCAGAATTGGTTATTGTTGAATCAGCAGAAGTGTGCCCACACCACATGTGCTGTCATGAAGTTGCTACACCAAGAGGATGGACGGGTTCGTTACTCGCCAACTCAGTCAGAGCGAGTGAGTAGCAGACTGCCTTGCAAGCGGACTGCGAGCCTCAAAGCAGTTCGTTTTTTGGGGCCGCTCCACAATTTTATTATTCTCTCACCGAGCGGGCGAATGGACGAACTCTAGGCTAGCAGACAAGAGCGAGTGGAATGTGAGACTCAAGTCAGTTCTTTTCTGGGGCCTGCTCCACAATTTTATTCACTGAGCGGGCAGGCGAACAGACGAACTCTAGCAGACAAGATTCTCGATGTGAGGTTAGGACCATCGTCTATTAAATGCCTAACAAGCCACTAGCAGTGCCACAGGGAGTGAGAGAGGCTGGTGACTTTAGAATTAATTAGTACTATAACTATGTGACTATGTGTAACCTTTAACCTCGTGTGTGGGTCACACTGTGTATGTTCTAATTTAGCACAAGGTGAAGTGTGAAATTTCCACCATGAACACTAAGCTGTGGGGCAGCGAGGGTTATATTTTTGGGTGGGGACAGGGGGAAAGTAGCATGCAATGGAAAGAGTCGCTCCGTCTGCTCACTTAAATGCATGGGATTCTCTCCGTTCACTGGCTTGCTAAACGAACTGTGGTCTCTGCGTCCGACGTGTAGTGAAAGAGATTGAATCTTCACTAAGTGGAAGGCTCGTTACCTGTCCATTCATTTGCTGATGGAGAAAGAGAGAGAGAGAGAGAGAGAAAGAGAGAGAGAGAGAGAGAGAGAGAGAGAGAGAGAGAGAGAGAGAAAGACAAGGAAATAAAAAGAAAAGGAGACACCAAAGACTATGAAAACAGAGGGTGGGACTAAATGAATGGGAGAGAGCTAGAGAAAGACACATAAAAGGCATACTTAAAAAGAAAGCTTAAGTATTTTAAAGTTGATAAAACAATGATGTCCATGTTCTACCATTCAACCATAGAAAGTATGATCAATTTTTGTATGACAGCATGGGCCGGGAACACAAGACAACAAGATAAAGAAAAATTAAATCGACTAATACTAATACGGAAAGCATGTAAAATTTCAACATCTTCATTCCCCTACTTGGATGAATTGTACATAAACAGCTTGCACTAAGAAAATTAATTCCATCTTTTTAGACAACAAACATCCCTTGTTCCCTCAAATAAAAACATCAGTCAGAAGTAAAAGACCCATGCTTCTGATGTGTAACAAAGAAAGATACAGAAGGTCTTTTTTACCATCATCTATCAAAATGCTTCCATCTTAACCATCTTGTTTAGTGTACTTACGACCTTAGAGCATGCATCAAAATAACATTGAGTGTGTATCTAGCTTACGATTATTATTGCTTATAAATATTGCTGCTCATTTATATTATGCATGTGATTGTAAGCCTACTTGTGTGTGCATGTGTGTGCACGTGTGTGTGTTTGTGTGTGTGTGTGTGTGTGTGTGCCTGTGTGTGTGTGTGCGTGCGTGCGTGTGTACTCGTGGTGGAACACCAAACCAATGTGCCAGGATCTGGACAATAAAGATGTATCTTATCTTATACGGAAGGGAGGGAAAGACAGTTCAGAGAGAGAGAGAGAGAGAGAGAGAGAGAGAGAGAGAGAGAGAGAGACCAAATTAACCAAATAACACAGAGAGCAAAGAAACGAAAGAAGGCATTTCATTATAATTTGGAATGTGGAATTTCATTTTTCATTCGGCCATTCGTGTCAGAGGCGGGACCAAAGCGTCCATCGCAACGAAGAAATATCACAGTTATAGACACATCTGGAAACACTATGAAGATATCAACCTTTCAGTGCTTTCTTTTGAATTAAACACATTTTAATTAGCCTACCGTACAGCACTTGAAACCAAAATGTGCTTTTGAACAAGAGCTGCAATTCCGAGAAGGTGTCTGAGCATGAATTTCAGATGTCAGCTGCCATTTTGAAAGTTTTCTCGTTGAGAATGAGATGAAACGAGAATGAGAAAGAAACGGAAGTTGCTCGTGATTTCACTTTCATTTTCAGACATCCTGATGCCTGATGATCTCACAATAATAACAAAATTAGCCTACATTGTTACATGGTAGCCTGTTGAACTTTTGATCCTGCATTGAAAGAAGGTGACTTTTCCTTTCTCTTTGATACAAATTATGTTGATATCTAGGCAAAATTTGAGTGTCTTGACTAAGAGTTACCTACTGTCAGTGTTTTTGTTGTTGTTTTTTTAATGGACCAGAATAACACTAGACTAAGACCTACCGGGCACCGGTCCGTCACGTCCTTCTGGTCCATTGACATTATGTTCGTCATGGGTCATGGTCATGATTCATTGACTGCTATGATCTATAGATTCTAGATCTACATGTCGTGGTCATGTGTGTATGTCTAAGTTAAATAGAGAGAGAGAAAGAGAGACCGAGAAAGAGAAAGAAGAAGAAAAGATAGAAAATGAAAGTAAATGAGAATGGAAGTGGAAGCATAAATCTAGACAGAGGTGTGAGAGAGAAAGAAAGAGAAAGATAAAAAGAGAGTGAGAGAGAACGAGAGAGGAGGCTGAGACAGAGAAAGATAATATATGAAGACAATGAGACAGAGGGAGGGAGAGACAGACGTAGAGTTAGTAAGACCATCATATATCATGTGTGTCTCTATTCGTTGTTGAAGGGAATTGTCAAATATGACATATTAAATGGGAGGGAAAGGACCCGCCGGTGGGATCAAGGGTCGCTTGTCCTGTGGGCAAGCAGTGATCAAATTTCACAACTCTCAACTGCTATCCTCTCTATGATTTTGATTGAGTAGATGTTTTACGGCACTATCGACACAATTTTGGTCATTTTAGCGCCATCTCTGACTGATGACACGGGTCAGTCTTACTATCCAATTACCAACGGTGCTTGCATTTCATAAGACCACTGTTTGACCTATTAAAACATAACATCTCCCTTGCTTCAACCCTTAGCCCCACCCATTGCTGTAACAAGCACAGTCAACCAGTGCTGCCCCTCACTGCCATCATGTAACAACGATTTGAGGAACTCTTTTCTCGGCTGGCCGTATGATCAGTGGTACAGGCATTGATCAAACTAATTTCACACCTCTTGCTTCTGGCTACCCCGGAAAGTTTCCTTAGTGGCTCGCTACCCGAGCACTTTCACTGGCACTCGTGAGATTTCACACCCACAACACCCTGAACCTTGACCATGATACATCTGCATCGCTCAAGGCTCATTTACTTTAGAAATGGGGTAACATCTGCCCCCACATTGCGCCCCTACTCCCCTTTCTCGCCGGGCGGCATAGCGTTCAAGTTTAGATCCGGCGTATCCAAACTTGCGTGTTTTGTTTCAAAACTGCCTGCTGCTGCTGCTGCTTTCTGCTGCTGCTAGAGATTATAAGTTGATCTACTTCAACTACTCTCTTCTACTGCCAGTCTAGCCGTACTTAGATCTAGGTTTGGCCCTATCGACGCAAACCTGTTAAGTACACAGGTCTCATTAGATCTAGATCTAGTAATTATTCAGGTTCAAATACATGCAAGTCAGTAAGGCACCTTTTGGTTTTGTCTGAAATACAAATACTTTAGGCATTGCAAACTAAAAATTTCATTCACAATTCAGCCATCAATATTAAGTACGGCTAGCCTGACAGTCTAGCCGGCTAGCCTGGCTGTCTACCCGTACTTAAGTACGGCTAGACTGCCAGTCTAGCCGTACTTATCTTAGGCCCTATTAACATTAGTAAACAGGAGGTTTAAATCACTGTCATTAAGGCACCTGGTTTCGTCTCAAATACACAAATACACAAATACTTTAGGTACTGCACACTAAAAATGTATATTTACAATTCAGTAGGCCTATTTTTTGTAAATGGTCAGTCTAGCCCACAGAATTCTACACTTATAGAAGCGGAACTCCCTCTTCGCGATCGCCGATTCGCTGTGAGGAATTGAAACTAAAACATGGCGGCCGGTTGAGGGCACCTTTGGCTGCGCCGCACAGCGAGGCTTCGCGTTGCTATGCACGCTAATGCTAGTGGTAGGGCTTGGAAGACACCTTACATCAGTATTTTAAAACTTTCTTCGAAGAGGAAATATATTGAAATAGTCTAGTACATTTTTATTGCCTACAATATGTCATATTTGGCAATGTTACAATGTTTTTGTATTTGTATTGTTGGTTTGTTGTTTTTTTAAATGATGGGATGGGATCTAGATCTAGATATCTAGATCAAGATAGATCTAGATCTCTAGATCTAGATCTAGATCTATTAAAGATCTTCACAATCACAATACACTTGATAATAACACTAATTATGAACATTAATTCAGTCGGCAAAATATCTAGATATAGATCTAGTCTTGATTAGTACTAGATCTACGCTAAGGCAAAAGGGGACGCTGACAGTAACATTAACATGCTCACTACAATAATATTGTCATTAAACTTAAGGCCATCCAAAGCAAGCAAAAAAGAACAATATAAGCCTTTTCTCCAATTTACTAGGAAGAGATAAATAAATTGAGCTTATATTGAGGAAATGTATTATTTCTCACTTTAAAAATTCATCTCTGTGTTTGCATCAGTAGTGTGTACATACAACAACATTAACATGCTTTGTTTAAAGCACGCGCGAGTCTAACAAATACAAGAGATTGGAGAATGTGTCGGTTGCACATGAAATACATGGGCCTATTGTACATGATGCCAAAAACACAAAAATGCAGAAAAGGCCTCAAAATATTGGTTTACACATAAAAGCCAATAATGCAGAACAAAGTAAACAAGAGTGGAACTGGCATATGTTTCCTGAATATAATATGTTCAAAGTCATTTTCTGTGTGTTGGGACTGTGATTTCTAATGCATGAATGATAGGCTCATTTAGATGTGATAATGAAGAAACTTGTGTCTACAGTCACAACAGAAAGAGTTCCATGGCGAGTGATCACTGGTCAAGGATTTCAGAGCTGTGTGCATTTTGAGAAAAATGTATCCCCATACCCTGGATCACATGTCGAGGGGATGGGCTTGTCCCCCTGTAATCCCCGCACACAGTAAATAAACACATATTTTTTAACACGAATAAGAAAAAATAAGTGGTCTCTTGTGACGAATCAAATTGAAGTCCTGTTTCAATTCGATTAATTGATAAAAGTGCGTATCGCAATGCGTTGGCCACCCCCTGCCCTATAGGTTTATGCTATTTAATAAATACATTCGTCAGACCTGGAATCTTTAATGCCCGCACACAGTAAACAAACACACATTCATGAACATGTATATATAAGAAAAAATAAGTGTTGTCTTGTTACGGATCAAATCGAAGTCCTGTTACAATTCAATTAATTGATAAAAGCGTGTATCGCAAGGCATCGGCTAACCCAGCACTATTACGCTATTTTATAAATACATTCGTCAGATCTGGAATCTTTAATCTTTAATTTTTAATCCCCGCACACAATAAACAAACACACGTTCATGAACACGTATAAAAAAATAAGTGGTCTCTTGTTACGGATCAAATTGAAGTCTAGTTACAATTCAATAATTGATAATAGCGCGCATTGCAATGCATTTGCTAACTCAGCATACGCTATTTAATAATACATTCGTCAGATTTGGAATCTTAAATTATAATCATAAATATATGAGCCCACGCGTGGGAAGTGAAAGTGAAAGGAATTGAAAATGCTTTCAAAAACAATTATTAAAGTAACATAATTAAAGTAGGACTACGTGTGCTTATAGAGGCCCAAAAAGGTGTATGGATGCGGAAATTAATGTTTCGGATGAAAATAATACGCTATCTCTACTACTGTAGCATTGGGTCAAAAATTTGATGCGCAACTTATTATGAAATATCTAGGCTACTGAACTATCAAACACCTAGGTCTAGATTCTCCTACTTTAACATAATGACTTAGATCTATATCAATTCGTCTTAACCGATGAGTATTTTTTTCAAATATTTGCACACATTTATAAGTTCTATATTATTGTAGAAATTTCTTTGAAGAAAATTCTTTAATAAATACAAGCCCAATATATATATATAAAAAAAAAAATCCCACTCAATGGTTTCTACAGATTTTTAAAAAGTTTATAGCTGGAGCTAAATCTCTTTTAAAAGCAAGTCCGTCCTTTTTTCTACTTCTGCTGGCGACATAAAGTTAATTATTGAACGCATGTTTTGAGAACATTAATTAGATCTAGTGAAAAATATGTTCAGTGTAAAACAAATTTCTTGTAACAAGTTTAGCTACTAAAAAATTACGTAGGTCATATGCGTATGCAAAATGTGTGTGGGAAGCTAGAAGTGCTGTGAACAATCCCATCCGTGTTACGATTTTTTTTCACAGTTCTGTAGATCTTATATTTATAAACTCTCTATGTCTGCTGTTTCTGTTGTTGCACCCAAAAACACAACAATTTAAAACCTTAATTCCAATCTCTAGTTGCACAGTGAATTCTGTTACTCAAAATTACAAACTGGACAGTAAATGTCCCACTTTTCACTCGTTTGTAAAAGCCGCTATTGCTTTAAAAGCTATAGGGTTACTTCCGAAAACGATAAATCGTGCCCTCAAGACGCCATTGTTTTCGGTCTTCAATTCCTCACAGGTCACGTGGTACAGTTCCCGTTCTATAAGTGTTGAATTCTGTGGTCTAGCCATCATATTAAGAATAAGTACGGCTAGACTGCTGCTAGTCTAGCCGTACTTAAGTACGGCTAGACTGCCAGTCTAGCCGTCATTAAGTACGGCTAGCCTCTTCCTTTCATGTATGCCACTGGTCACTCGACTTGCATCAGCACCAACAATAGATCAATTTGTGGCTATAAATTTATTATACTGCCGGTATCGACATGCTGTCCATGCTTAATGTGAAATATTTTTTCTTGTGTGAATGATTATGTGATTGGTGTATGATGCTGAATTTCTTTGTCTTGGTGATTTGATACTGGTGAACAGTATTGAAACTACTGTTGAGCACGTACATGATAGCAAAATCGACAGGACATAGAAATTATATCTTTGTACAAATTTCCCTTTGTATGTGTTAAAAAATATTCACAGTGTGTTCGTTATTTCCTCGTTATTACCTTCCTAATTTTTAATAAAAAAATTACAGTGCTTTCATCATAGCTCTACTTTTCTTACCTTTTCTATGAACTTCAAAAGATAACATTTAAGTTACCGTACTTATAAAATGAACTGGCGACCTGCTTTCTTTTTCAGAAGTGAACGTACAACGATGGAGGAAATCTGTGAACAGCTGGACAAAACATGCCTACAGATATTTGATGTCCTAGAGAGTCTTTATGAAGCGCAAGGGAAATTGGAGCAGGTAGTTGGGGGGGGGCACAAACGAGTTGTTTTAAAAAAAAAAGTCTTTGGCCAATAAAAATAGCTTTGTCTTTGTCTTCTACATTGTTAGTGCTTTTAATGCATGATGTCATTACATTAGAGAAATTTGGTCAGCCCACAACCTCAAGCCTCAAATGAAATTGTTACTTAATTTTCTATAATTAATACTCTTGGTACAACAGGTATTATATAATAGCAGTCAGCGGAATGGGACTCAATGAAGACTTGGGACTTATCGGGAGGAGAAGGGTATCTTTCTGTTTGTTTAAAAAAAAATTAAATTAAAAGTCACGATAAAACATCTCTTATTCACCCAACACTTGGATGTGCAAAGTCAGACTCACCAATATCATTTGCACAGCTGATTTGGCTCCATGCATTTTTCGAATGGGGGAAAAAAACGTATTTATTCTGTTTCAAAAGACTGTCTGTCATGTCGCCGTGCACTCTATACTACAATTGACCTCTATCAGAGACACATAACTGTTTAATTCAACTTTTCAGAAGCCTTTTTTACACCAAAACATGCATTTAGGACATGGGCGTTAGATGTGTCTTGTTTTGTTTCAGTAAGGTTTTACGGTGCTCGCAACTGCGTAAGGTCATATGAGCGCCAAAGAATGGATGTCAACAGAGAAGTCTAAACAGGAAATCAAAGGTGTCTTTGGCATGGATAGTCAGCAAAGGGGTGTGGGCGATCCGAAAACATAAAAAATTTATCCCCCCCCCCGGTTTCTAAGGCTGAAATCAGCACCTGTGGTCTGTAAACAGACTAGACTTCTGTGTTGTGAGTTGCGCACGGGTCTGTGGAGCCAAACTTTTGGCAGGTCTAGTCAAAACTGGCCCTAACAGTGTGGGTGGTTGGCAGGTGCTCTGGTGTGGTTTGCTCCTTCTTTCCTATCAAATATCTATCGTTCTATCTATCGTTCTTATCCCTCCTCCTTTTTGTGTATGTTACTCTCTTGTCACCCATCTATTCTTTGCACTTATATGACCTTATTGTGTTGCAAGTGCCGTAAAACTCTTATAAAAAAAAAACTGGCCCTAACAGTAGGCTTTACTGTGTTTTATGCAAATTGTTTGGCAAACGGTCTGGCATAGGAGGGCTCAGTAACCTGACAGGTAGGCCTATGTTGTTCGCCTGTAACCCGGAGGTCTGGGGTTTAATCCCCACACTGTCGGGTTATTTTCTTCATGCTTTCTGGCCCCTTTGATCCAAGGTATGACAGATTGAACATGTAATCTCCTTGGAAAAGGACGAAACATTTCAAAAGTTCTGTTTGAAAATTTCTCATTAGAGATCTCCTGGCGGTTCTTAAATTGAAGATAGATCAGGCCCTCTAGACCGCTGACAAAATTTTAAAAAAATTCCCAACCCAAAACTGAAGCTACTAAGTATAATTTTAAAGAGAATCTTCAAATACAGCATGTGGCTACCTTTCAGCCAAGAGATGATACTGAGTTTTACGAAAATAATAAATGGCCTTGTTAGTAAAATCAACTGCCCTGTAAGATAAAAATAAAAAATGGCCCTGAAAATAAAATCAACTGCCCTGTGAGATGAAAATAAAAAATGGCTTTAAGTAAAATCAACTGCCCTGTGAGATGAAAATAAAAAATGTCCCTTTAAGTAAAATCAACTGCCCTGTGACTTGAAAATAAAAATGTCCCTTTAAGTAAAATCAACTGCCCTGTGACATGAAAATAAAAAAATGTCCCTTTAAGTAAAATCAACTGCTCTGTGAGATGAAAATTAAAAATGTCCCTTTAAGTAAAATCAACTGCCCTGTGACATGAAAATTAAAAATGGCCCTTTAAGTAAAATCAACTGCCCTGTGAGATGAAAGTCTTACAGTCAGTTATTCCCTTAGCCATAGGACGGTTACAAGAAGAAAGAAGAAGCATCGGGTAATTTACACAAAAACAAAATAAACTCCCTGGGTTTCGACGTGCTAGTGAGCAGAGTTTCTCAAAGCCACACCATCATACCAGGGAAAATAAGAAAGAATATAATTCTACAGGAGCATTTTGAAATTGAATAGAATGTCACACACTTCACTTACAACTCTGTGTCTTGACATATATGTGTATTTGGTTAATTTTAGTCTTAAAACTTATTCAAACTGAGACATTTTTCCTTTTTTCTTTCCAGGTCATGAAAGATGGATTTCTTGGAATTTCTCGGGCCCGCTACAGCCTGGGAATGAGTAGAGTCTCGTCTGATCAGTTTGTGGATGCGGATCTAGTCGCCACGCGTACTGTGATAGTCAAGGACGAAAGTGGTGGACGCGCTACTAAAAGTTTGGCTCACAGTGACTGTGGTGGTGAAATATCCAAACCTACATTTAAACTTCAAGTGAACGCTGTGAGGATTAAATCCAAGTCTGACGACTCGGACAGTGAAGAAATTAGTTCACAACCAAAGGAAGCAGACCAGTCTGAGGGTCTGTTGAGGCAAAGAAAGCGTGAGAAATCTGATCAAGAGAATGAATCGAAAAATGACAGTGCACAAGCAAAAATAAACCCACATTCCGGAGCTTCGACCTCTATAGCTGACAAGGGGACTGATTCGAAGAAGTTTGATTCCGAGACACAAGATAACGGCAGCAGTAAGAAAAATGAGAAACTGTTCAATCCGGTTAATCTGTTCGGAGTGCTAGTCCCTCAGCATCTGAGAATGTCCCAGAAGAACTTTGAAGAAGCTGTAAGTCTCACCGTCACAATCGCTGGCTTGAAGAGCGAACTGGAGTGTCTCCGATCTAGCTACGATTCTTTCAGAGAAAAGAAAAAGTCTATGGTGTCTGAGGCAGTGAATCCCGAGGCTTGACAGATTGAAGAAGGTTTCTCAAAGAGATTTTCCAATTTCGCCGGGTTCTCATCTGGTGAGGGCTGTCTGGTGGTGCACAGCTGGTTGTGAGCCCGAACTTTATGTGAACGTTTGGAAGTCAAACTTGTAATGGGTCCAACGTATTTATATTCTTCGTGGAACTTTTTTTTCCCTCCCAGTGATTTCTTGTATGAGGGCAATGATTTTGCCGTGGAAATACTTTCATGATGCTTATCAGATCGTCACCTCAGAACTTTTTTGTCCAAAGTGCCTCTTTATTTAAGAACGCTTTGGACAAAATAGTTCTGAGACGAAGAAATGTTGAACTGCACCCGGGACAAAAAAAAAAGCAAAAAAATGTTTAAAAGACAAAATAGTGTTGATCGAACTGGCTGTACGACTCAGCACATGTCACGACAACAAAAGAGATCTACAACAACTGCTTTGTATTCCAGTTCCATTCCAGCTTCTATAAATAGATACATTTCTCTTTCGGCATTAATGTTGAAATCTTTCACTACCTTTGTGATGTTATGGTCTGTGCAAGTTTGTTGTTGAAGGTTTTATGCAAATCTTCAGCTTGCTAACTTTTTCAAAACCCAATCAGAGGTGCACTTTTTTTAAAATGTAAGTGTTTTTTACAGCCACATCAACAAAATTTAGATCATCTAGGAGGCGGGCTTCCGACCCTGTCTGTCAGGACCGACCCGGGCTGAGAGGGATACAGCATCCAAGTAGAAAGAACCAGAAACTCAAAAAAAAAATTTATCCCCACTGGAGAATTTAAGTCAGGTCTCCTGAGGGCAACAGCGAAGCACCTAAGCTACACCACATGGCAGATGTAGGTACGGATACCTTACGTTATAACAATAACATCAGGTTACATAACAATGAGCAACATTACGTTGAGTGGGACTAATTTTGGTGTAACGTATATTATATTGTAATTAATTTAATCAGAACATATACAGCTCAACTTCCACCTGAACAGAATAAATCTGGAACTTCCCCCAATGTGTCCCTTGTGTGACTATGCATATGAGACTGTGGAGCATCACCTGTTCCACTGCACAGCCCTAAATGACATCAGAGCTACCCTTGGATGTATAGTTTATTGAATATCATTATCTTCTCCTGGGATGGGATGCTGTGCCATCTCAGTCCTAAGTTGGGAGTGACAGAGGGGAACAAAGTAGCCAGCCTCCTAAATGATCTGCATTATGTTGATTGGGGCTTGAAATATCAATCAACCGAAGCTTTATTGTTATATTATATTATAATAAATTAGCCTGATACTGTTGAAAAGCCATCCGAGTCTTTACTTGTTAAAATAAGAGACATGAGTGTACATGACCACATATGTATCATAAGTGTGCTTCTGAGCATTTCTATGTTTTGTCAAATTGTTGAAGTCTATCCATTATGTGTTATGGCCCCATTGACACAGTTTAGGTAATTTAAGAGCTGGGTTGCTTCGAACTTGTCTGTAAGTGTAAGTAAAGGCCATCCTTGGCTGTGTGGGCTATTGGTCTACTGTGTCCTCTTAGAGATACTTGATTATGGTGCACTATCTTTTGTACGTTGGATTCAGACTAACGATTTTCTTCCACGCAAGGTGAAGAGTCTGTATACCGACAATACAGTGCAAGTGGGGGGGGGGGGGGGGGTGTTGTTTCTTTTTCAACTCACTTGAGCCTATTCAAACTCGTGTATTTGCAAGATGCCCCGCCGACCCGGTAGCCTAATCGCGTGTATTTACACGGGATGTGCTTTATCGATTGATATAATCTCCGGTGCTATTTGTTTACAAGCTATAGGAAGCGGCGAGACAACAGTTGACCCACTTGTTTCGTTTCATTAAAAATTTGGGAAGTTATGTGCGATATTTCTTTAGCAGTAATGGACTACGGCAGTCACTCCTTCATTGCGACAGTTGATTTTATCATAAATTGGGCATTAAAAAAATGTGCATATTCCCCTGACATTGCCATTTCAAAATATTGATAAAATAAAAACTGTTTGGACGAATTAAATGCAGTTTTCTTTTTCTGTGAGAGCACTTCTTTCTTTCTCTTGTAAAATTATGTTAGCTTTCACAATCTTTTTGTGGTTAAGGCCTCAATATAACCCAAAAGTGTCAGGCTGCAATGATTGTTGGGTGAAAAAGAGCTCAGGCTCAAGTGAGTTCAGTTAATGTGGTTTATCATCGACACAATTTTGACAATTCAGTCAGGGGACAAGTTTCAATCCTGCCTGCAGCCTACTGTCAGGCCGAGAGGGATATAATAGCTTTTTCCCAGCAGAGAGACCAATATACTCGAAAAGGTTCTCTGAATCGTACTCCAGCCGTCTGTTAGCGACGCCGAAGTGCCTCACCCTTACAGCACTTGACTGACTGACAATATTGTCACTGTCATTCTGACTTACCATATTGTCACTGTCATTTACTGTGGTCGCCAAGTTCCATGTGAAAGAAAAGCTTTTTTTTTCTTCTCAATGTAACAAAATAGATAGTATTGCACGCTGAGCTTTCTGTTAAGCAGAAATTTGCGCTCTAAAAATATACTATACCAATCCTCCTCCTCCTCCTCCTCCTCCTCCACTTTGGCAAGTTTTAGCATTTGTGATCATTACAAGTTGCTTGCTATCGTTTCCTTTATTTATGATCTCTTTTAACCATGCTGGCTAGCTACATGCTGGTTAGTACACTGCTAGCAAGGTCTATAGCGTTACTTTCCTTCCTCCTTAGGTGTTAAATGTTATTATTTGTTTTTTTTTATAGACATTCTATTATTATTATTATTAAAATAATTTTAATTATTATCATCAATTGACCTAATTGGTAGACTTTTTTCTTTTTTTTTTGTTGCTTGAACTTGAAGTGTGTGAATGTTCTGGTGGCGTTGTCATAGAAAGCTCACATTCAAGAACGGAACTGGTTTGGTGTTCTCAGCTGTTGCCTGCCCAGGTGTCCAAAATGACTTTTTTTTATGGAGTTAAAAAAAAATTCCTCAGTAAACAGACATTGATGAAAATAAAGAAAAACAAGATGTAACTCTTCTGGTCAATTGTTCTTTTTATTTATATATATATATCTATATGTTATAGTGAATGAAACAAACTCACTATCTCTCTCTCCCTCCATCTCTCTCTCCCTCTCAAACTAGCTCTCTCTCCCTCTCAAACTAGCTCTCTCTCTCTCTCTCTCTCAAACTAGCTCTCTCTCCCTCTCTCTCTCTCTCTCTCCCTCTCCCCCTCTCTCTCTCTCTCTCCCTCTCAAACTAGCTCTCTCTCCCTCTCTTTTACTCTCTCTCTCTCTCTCTCTCTCTCAAACTAGCTCTCTCTCCCTCTCTCTCTCCCTCTCTCTCTCTCTCTCTCTCTCTCTCTCTCTCTCTCTCTCTCTCTCTCTCACTTCTTCCCTAAGGCTTATGTCTAAAGTATTGTCTGCAAAAAGAAAAAGCGTCTAAAAGGTAGTATATCACTACATGATGCCACCGTACAGCTTGCCCACTTGTTTGTTTGTTTGTTTGTTTGTTTGTAAAGAGAAGCACATCGACACAGTAATGGTTGTTTAGTGCTGAGAAAAAGTAAGACAGACAGACAGACAGACAGAAACAACAGAGGGAAAGTGAAGAAGTAGGACCTACCAGTGGCACCCTCCAACCACATGCTCGTATGCCCAGACAACATTGTCAAAAAATAAATGCATAAAATAACAAGGAGTATGTCTTTGCCGATTCCTGTCCTCATTATCTTGTTACCAAACAACTTATTTTGCAATTTAAATAAACTGTCAATTTTAAGAGGACAGAACAGGTAACGAAAGTAATGTAGTTAGATACTCCTTTCTTGCACACTATAGGATATTACCTACACAGGTCTCATAGTTTAGCTCACAAGTGTACCGTCTGTGCAGAATTAAAGGGGATGTTTATAATAAGTGTCCCTGCCGGTCAATATCAGTCATATGAAGGAAATTTCCAAAATGAGTTAACATTATTTTAAAAAACTATCACCTTTTCCCTACAATTTAAAACAAAAATGAAGTAAATATGACCTTATTTGACGAAAATACAGAGCTTTTAATTGTGTGAGGTGAGAAAACACGAAAAAGAGAAAATGGCCTCTGAAGTTGAGCAACATGTTTCCATAGCAATGGAGGTCTTAGAATTGAGATAGAGACTTGAAATTTATAGTCGATTATAGTCGTTTATTTTTATCTTAAAGTTAAATAAAGCAGAAGACAACAAACTTTCAATTGATCCGAAAAACAAAAATTTCATGGAAAGTCACTTTTTTGCCTTTCGAGCCTCGCGTATGCTGATAATAACACACTGCGTCCTACGACTGATATTGACCGGGGGAGACAGATATATCCCGTATGTGTTAAAAAAAGCTTAAACATTTGAGGTCTGTCAGTAAAAATGGAGTCCACTTACAAAATACTTTGTTAAAAATAACAATTATCATCATCATCATTGCCTCTTTTATCGTAGATCAATGTAGATTTTCCACCAGTACCAGCCACCGACAAACACTTTCCACTTTTCCCTATCTTGGGCGAGCTTCTTGACATTATTCCATGTCGTCTGTCCGCGAGTTTTGTTCTCTTCCCAAAACTTATATATGGCTTGGCCTTTTGCAGCTGAATATGCAGAGAAAGAGCTTCCGTAGTATCACATCTCAGTCACTCGATCTTATATAAAATGAATACAACGTATTTCACTCTCACTCTCACCCTCACCATCGCTTTCCTTTCTTGCACTTTCTCTCATTCATCAATATCTGCTATTTTATTTCTTCAATCCGTGTCATTTATCATCTCTCTCCTTCTTTTTCACTCTAACGTGAGTGGAATATAAACTGGGATGTTGGGATGGTAGCTGCAGAAAGTTTCTTTCTAATCCAGGTGTGGTTCATTCAGTCTTTCAAGAGTTCCTCTTCATCAAAATCGTCCTGAAAGAGAAAGAAAAAATAGTGAAGCTAGCGACAAGTGATCCTGAATATCAATCACCTCTAAAACTGAAATCTGTGCAAAGTACCCAGAAAAGATAATGCCCTAGCTGTTGTGTCTTGAAGAAGAAATGTCTCAAACTAAAAATATACTATATTTAATAACAGTGATTATATAAAAAAATATATTCAAAATAGTAATTGCATCTATATAGCATAATATATCAACATCCTACAGCATGCTATATTTATGCCCCTCAATGCTTCACAACTATTAGTGAACGTATAAAACTATAAAAACACCGTTTTCAAAGACATTTTTTTAGTTTGAACATGGGAGCTGAATCTGGTCCAATAATTTATTGAAAATGTTTAATAAAGCTATAACTATAACTATAAGTTATGAAAGAAGCCGAAAGTGAAAACTATTGTGAAGGAGAGAACAGCACTAACGGTTATCTTCTTAATCTCATAATCTTTAATAATCATCCTAATCTTGGATGATTACTTAAACCAGACAAGGACTGACAATCAGGCAATGATTTCTGTTATCCACTCTTTACATGATACCATGGAAAAGCTGCCATCTTGGATTTTAACACTATAAAACATGCCCAGATGCTGATGATAAAGTTCCTTGCAATTTGAAAGCAGTCATTCATTCAGCTGTTTTCTAAAATTCTGGAGAATATCTAGAATTTAATGTCTTGAGTAGGGTGTGGCTTTTAAAAGAAATATTTTTTTGTATATATAGAATAAAACTACAGTGCAGCCTCTCTATAATGAAATCGTGGGGACCAGAAAAAAATGTTGTTATAGAGAGTTATCGTTATAGAGAGGCAACTAAAAATATAACTAATGACATATATAAGGAAAAAATCAGGACATGTCGCTATACAGAGGATGTCGTTATATCGAAGGTCGTTATGCAGAGGCTGCACTGTATTTAACAAATATAATAGAAATATTCAAATAAGTGTTAACTGAGAAGCGAAACAGAGCGAACTCACTACCATATCAAAGTCATCGATGTTGACCCCATCCAAGTCCAGGCCAAGCTCTTCTTCAATCTCCTCTATCGCTTGCTCCAGTTCTTCGACAGCCGGCATCCCACTCGCACTCACACCCTCAGGTCCTTTGTCCTTCTGTGCATTCACACCCTCAGGTGTTCCGTCCTTCCGCACACTCACACCCTCAGGTGCTCCATCCTTCTGTGCACTCACACCCTCAGGTGCTCCATCCTTCGGCACATTCACACCCTTAGGACCTCCGACCATCTGCACCATTGAGGGTGAGCTCTCCGCAACTGTTGGGTCCTTACTGCGCTGAGCTTCCCTGAGAGGGGTGGGGCTTCTGGGGTCATCAGGGCTGATGATGGGCTTGGTCTCCTCCTAATTGTTACAAGAGTGTAACAAACATAAAACATTAAAAACGGAGGAGTGTTTTAGTTTTAATAAAAGTTCTACGGCACTTGCAACACGATTAGGTCTTATAAGTGCCGCAGATTAGAGGTGTTATAAAAGAGTAACAAACACAAAAAAGAAGAAGGAGAGATAAAGACAATAGATGTTTGATAAGAAAGAAGAAGGAGAGATAAAGACAATAGATGTTTGATAAGAAAGAAGAAGGAGAGATAAAGACAATAGATGTTTGATAAGAAAGAAG